GGATGGGGGATGGGCCAGGGACGAACCCATTTAATTTGGGGTCAGATCCGGATCATATACTATGAATTTCAATTTACTCCTCCAAATGTAACATAGGTACATACATGTATATTGATTTTCCATATATGAAAGATATATAAATATATAAGTCATATATGTGAAATGATATAAAAAAACCTACAAATAACTGGAATGATTTTATACATTGACATATGTCTAGCCCATACAAATGTATGTATGATTATAGTGTAGACATGTTACATTAATATATATCCCTCCCACAGCCTGTCAGTATATGTTGATATTAAAAAACAGTAGAAATATATAGATATATAAGCATGTATAACTTTTATATGTATGTATTTTTTTTATAAACTTATATTTTTATATTTATTAAATATTCATTCTTAACAAATATGGTCACATATATGTACATGTACACATTTTACTATGGGTATTTCATATATGTTATTAACTTATAGCTTCGTACACCCAGCAGATGTATATACGTGTGATAATAATATAGGTGACACATGGTTGCTTGACATTGGTCCCCTTCTAGTTTTCCATGTAAAATCCCAATCACCGCTTCTCCAGAAAAATAATCTTATCACATCAGCTCCAAGGACTTAGACTGTCACTTTTGTCTTCATGGTTCGTCCAGTGTCTCACAGCTATTGATAAATGAGACGATGCTGTGTAGAGTTCAGCCTGCAGCCGTCCTCAAGTGGGAGAGAAGTAGTCGAGGAAAAATTATTACGACTGCCACTAATAATTTCCCCCAATTTTCCGTTACATTTCTTATTCATTGTTTAATCTGTGAAATGTCAGGTAATAGTGAAAAATGCCCCCCTGCAATTTCCCAGAGCGCAAAGTGATTCCTTCAAATGTCTGACAAACTACGTGACAACATGTTTTAATGTCATGTTGAAGAGGTTTTTTCTGTTTGAGTGAAAAATTGCTCGTGATGTAAATTGAAAACATAAAATGACGAGCAGAACGAGTCTGAGACCGACCTCTTACTCACCCGTCACCTCTCTGTTTATAGAGAGGTAACGGTGGGAAAGATGGTGTGGTGTTAAAACCTCAGACCTTTTTTGGAAGGTGAGTTTGCAACACACCGTCTCGCTGTGTCGGTTTCTCTTGGCGAGCATGAGTTGGCACCATCACTGATCCTGTCAGCGCCGAGCGGGAGGGAGCTGAACGCCCTCAGGCAGCTTGCTCAGTGAATCAGCGCACTGGAGTGTGTGTGAGTGTGTGTGTGTGTGTGTGTGTGTGTGTGTGTGTGTGTTCATTCCTACTTGAGTTTATGGTACTGAAAGGTTGCAGTTGTGTTTGGATTGTTTGTGAGAGTGTGTGTGTGAGAGTGTGTTTCTGTGTAAGTATTCCTGTGCTAATATCTTAGTGTGTTAGTGTTGAAATATCCCCTGAGGCCGGATGACTGGCTTACATCGCAGAGCTGTGAAACGGAGAGGCCACAGCTGTGTGTGTGTGTGTGTGTGTGTGTGTGTGTGTGTGTGTGTGTGTGTGAAGGAGCTATGACACAGCTGGTGTGACGTTCTCCCACCTGTGAATCACAGAGTTCAAGTGCGAGTGTCTGCAGTGTGACGATCAGCTGGAACTATGGACGTACTGTGAAAACTGGACACTGTGTTCAGACTGACTTCAGTCACTAGGATTTTTTACATTCCTATAAGATCTTACGTGGATTTAGCTGAGGCTTTTATTGTGAAGGGTGCAGGATTTAGCTGAGGCTTTTATTGTGAAGGGTGCAGGTTTATACCTTTTTAATGTAATATTTCCTACTTTCTTACTTTCTTTCCTATCTGCTTTTAAAATTGTTGTTATGTTTTGTGTTTTAAGAAGAAGTAAAGCAATTGTTTTATTTTATGCACAGTTGCACTCTTGCTCGTCACTAGTTCACTTATTTTCGGGCTTCACTTTTCCCTTCATCTAAACATGTGATGTGTCAATATTTGTATGTTTTGGAGCTTTATTTATTTTCATTCATAGATCTGCTGGTTAGAGGAGAAGTTTGAAGAGGTGTGTTTGTGGCATCAGATATATTTGGCTTGAGTGCACTTTTGTGAGACCGTGTTCTTGGTTTTATATTAAGCTTTGTATTTTCATAGTAGCAGCTGTGTGGGCTTACACATGCCTCTTTGTATATATCATTTTTTTCTTGAAGAAAATATTTTATGAGAATTGTATTGTATGGAATATTTTTGCATTATTACTGCGTTATGTGGGAGGGATGCATTGTTCCTGTACAACTGCATGAAGGTTATGTTGTTGCCTCGCAATGAATTGTTGAAGGACGTAACACAAAGTGTGATCCTTGTCCACAACACAACACAAGGCAGGGGAAGTTTTACAAACACAAATACAAAAAAGTCATAATACTGAGAGTTTGCAGTTAGATGTGTATTTTAAATTTTTATCATGTAGTCACATAAAGACACAAAATGTCACTCACCACAAGAGTAACATCAAAGCCTTGCATCAAAGCATTGTTATCACAAGTAAGAATAAATTAATAAAAAATACATATGCATAAAATAAAGGAAAAAATGAAGAAAAACAGCAACAAAGAAAAACCTCACCTTTGTTTATAGTCTCAAGCAAAATCAGGGCAACTCGGCACATCTCATTCATAATGTCAGTCTTTGCTTTTCTGGCCACAAAGGATTTTTGTTGTAGTACCACAGTTGGCCACTGAGGGAAAATAAGCTGTATGACTGACTCTGCCACACTTTATCCAGCTTGGGTAAAGCATCAATTTCTCCGGTCACTGTCGGGTCACTTTCAGGTGTCGAGTCACCACGAGGTAGTTACATCAGACTTTCTGTTGTCGCTTCCCATCAAGATACAAAAACCTGGTCCCAACACGTACTGAAAACTTAATGTGTCCACACAAGTGTATAAAACTGATCTGGTGTAAATGTTCTGTCAAGTCCAAAGTTTACTCAGACTGAGTAGTTTCAGATTCCTTGGTAAAAACTCGGAAGCAAAACTACAAAAACAAAAAAAACAAGAAACTAATAGGTGGTCCCCATTTTTACCGAAACAAGAATGTGGGTTTTTTTTTGCAGAACTCATTTTGTTCTGGAAGAAAATGTAATTTCAGTGTCACTTTTTTTTTTTAAATGAACCTTGATGATGAATGACTTCTTCTGTATCAGACCATTCCTGAAACTACTTTATCTATTTGTTGTTGTTTTGGGTTTTTTTTCTTGATTAAATGAAAGTTTCTTTTTGCTGGTGTGGTGAACAGTTTATGGTCACAAAGATTAAAAAGACAGAAAGTACAGGAATAGTTTTGGCAGCTGAGAAACTCTTAATTCTGCTCAATCTCAGACTTTCACTTCACCTACATGGTCTGAGTCAGCCCGGGGAAAACTTGCAAACTTCTTTCTCTGAGTTTCTTTCTTTATGAGTATTTGCAGCCCTGAAGGAATGAGGCCACTGGGAGCTGCCCAGTACAACCACCATCTGCTGCTCTGCATCACCCAGGCTCAATGATATACTGCGTACCTTGAGGGCACCTTGATAAAACACAGTTTTTTAAGATGGTGAATAGAGTTTTCTGAGTCTCCTGGTAAACTATTGAGCAGATCACATCATCACGTCGAGGTCATTACCTTAAAGACTTTTAATTACATGGGAAACTGGACAGATTTAATTAGACATCGATCAGCTGCAATGTCTTTTCATATACATATACATATGTATACAGTATATATTTATATATTGTAAACCGTAATCACAAACTCTGTTAAGCAGAGAACGAATACAAGGCTGGAATTTACATTATATAAGTTAAATTATAATAATAATAATAATAATAATAAAGAGGAAAACCAGGACAAATTCCTCAAATCGCTAAACCTTGAAAATAATAGCTCCCTTATTTGCCAGAGACATGTTGTCCTGTGTTATTTGGCGTGTTTACATGTACTACAGATTATCTGATCTGTCTTCTTTTTAAATTTATAATCCAGGTTACTTTCCAGGTTAAGGGATTTAAGGATAAGCATTTCTGATGGAGTGACCTGATTACTACAAAAAAAAAACCCTCTGCCATTAAACATAAAGTGTTTTAGGTGGTTCTGAAAAAGACCAATGAAAGAGGAAGAAAGACATGCTGAGGAGAAGGTTATAGTATATAATGACATCAGTCAGCTCCCACTTCTCATTGGTTATTATTTAGTACGAGTTGTCTGTCCTTGTAAGTTGAACTGCAGCAGCGGAGCCTGGAGGCTACACCAGTCTTTGACCCTGCTCATTATGCTTCGTTTCACACATTTATTGTGTTTAGCCACTTTTTTGTATTTTTGAAAGAGGATTTTTTCTCTTCAGTAAAACAGCTGGAACATCCAACATGGACCACAGGGTTTTCTTGACGTATATGTCAACCTCATGCTTGCCAGCTCAGAGTGTAGCATCAGGAACACGCTGCTGCTTTGTGGGTGAAAGAATCGTAGAGAGAATAACAACTTCATGACATGTTGTGCATCTTCGTTCACAGCAGTATGGAGGGTGCTTTAGTCCCATAACTTCTATTTGTCTGCTGTTTGTCCCAGACAGGTTTAATAAAGTTCTGAAACAAGTGACATGGTTCATAGTTTTTTAAATTTTCTCCTGCGTGGGAAAATAAGACAAAGTTAGTTATAGCCGGCCGGAGAAGAGAGCACAACGTTTCATCAGCTAAAGCTAAGCTAAGCTAAGCTAAAAGGAGCGTGTATGTTAGACATCACATGAACGACTGTTAGCTAATATTAAACACAAAACTCAAGGTGTTCAACTGTCTGTTATTCTGCCCCCTGGTGGCAAAGAAATGGGGCATTGACAACGTAGCTTAATGTTTCTCTATGTCTCACCTGTTATTTACCTTTGTCTATCTGTTCCTCTGTCATCCCGCAGGCTGTGTGTGTGTGTGTGTGTGTGCGTGTGAGAGTGTCTGTAAAATGCCGCTGCCAGCTGAACACGTTTGATCGGACATGGAGGCCGTTAGCGCAGCCAACGACACACAGGACCAGCTCCGCCTCCTGCCCCCGCCTGGCGACGACCTCAGCTACCATGACTACGACCCGAATGGCGGCGCTGTCCCCCCAGCGCTGCCGACGCTGGTGTTCGAGGGAGTGAATTTTCCAGAGGACCCCATCAGACTGCTGAGTGTACAGGTAGAGTTATATATATATATATAGATTAGACTCTCTTTTATAATAAAAGTGTGATACCTTCAAAGTCTGGCACTTCAACAAAGTAATAAAAACTCCTGTCAATATCTCAAAATTGATTGCACAGGTCTAAGAAGGAAAAGTTAATTAAATCTCCTTGACTGTACCTTCTCAGTGATAATCAATATTTCCCTCGCACTCTTTCACAATAAAAGTCTTTTCAAAACTACGACTAGGACCCGTGCCCAACCCAATCCTGAATAAATCACAGCTGTCATTGATTGATTAAAACCAAACTTATCCACTTACTCGTCCATCTCTATATAGAGTCAGTCGTTGTCTGAGGCTGATGGGAATGTCATTATTTTTATAGGTTTTTGTTCATAAACAAAAGAATTGAAATTTTGACCTGATTCTGTCACTTGATGAAAAGTCACCCGGCAACAGCTGTACAGGTGGAGACAGAGAGGAAACATACAGGTGCACACATGACCTTCAGTGGCAGTGATCAGAGCCTCTGCATCATCAATACTTGTGTCAGTATTTCCTGGAGAGTCAGCTCATACATCCTGCAAGGCAGCTCCTCTGAGTTTCTAGTGGAGGCAGCTGCAGATAACGGCGTCTGCCAGATGTGTACAGCTGCTGCTGTTTGTTTGTTCGCAGGTGGTGTTGATCCTGGCCTACAGCACCATCATTGTGCTGGGGGTTCTGGGTAATTCGCTGGTTATCTACGTCATCTACCGCTTTAAGACGCTCCGCACCGTCACCAACTTCTTCATCGCTAACCTGGCTGTGGGTATGTTTACACACACACACATACACACACACACACACACACACACACACACACACAAATACACACATGCTGTGCTGTTTCTAATTCAATGCTGTCAGAGTCATTACAGCAGGGAAATGCCCCCGACATCCCAAGACAGCCTGTTTGTGTATCTATTTGTTTCTGTGTGTGTGTGTGTGTGTGTGTGTGTGTGTGTGTGTGTGTGTGCCCTCTGTAGGTCGTCAGCACTGATGACTCAAACATCTGTCAGCTGTTATATGCTGTTCTCTGTGTGATGTGTGCGGTTTGTCTGCTGCTGTGTGGGAGAGAGACAGACATGTTCATGTGTTTGACATTCACACGTCTTAAAGGAGAAACCAAACGTGAAACTCGTGATCGTATAAATAGATTTCTGACTGAGGACAGAGAAGAAACACAAAAGAAGAATTCCCAGAGGCATGTTGGTGTCTGTCTGTATGATGTGCACACATTAACTCCTTCTTTTCCATCTTTATTTGATAGCAATGATACACGCTCTGTTGCTGTTCACTCAGGTCATTCCCAAGGTGAATTTGTACGGAGGACCAGGAGTTTTACAGGAAAAGTAATAAAGAATTTCCTTAATTTCATATTTTAATAAGCATTAAAAATAGGAATTATAAAATAATTTAAAAGTAAAGGATAATTCCATCATTAAATACTTTAATAATTTAAATATGCATTTATAAAAACAGCATAAAACACTCATTAAATAAACCATTTACAAATACATTTATTAATTCATGAATAGATAGATAATAGAATTTTAACTATTTGAAAAGAGAACACATACCTGGCCTGAGTGTCACGTGAAGGTGAAATGGAGAGGCTAAATGACTAAGCTAATTGATTAGCTAATAGGAAAAGGAAAAGCAGCTGGAGAGAGGAAATTAAAGAGGGAATCCAGGTATATTTTTAAAATGTAATCAAACAATTAAGTCATCAATAAACACTTCAGATTTAAAAATGGATTTACAAAATCAGTATTAAACCATTTAGAAATAGATCGACTAACGTTGTCATTTAGCCTCTCTGTGACACTCTGGGCTTTAGTGCTGGTAAAACCAGACTCAACAATCCCAATTGGCCATGGGATGTAACAAGCTCTCTGATTGGCTGGAGAGCTAACCAGTCGTATCGTATGGGTTTTGTCATGGAGAGGTAATAAATAGTTTATTTAATGAGTGTTTCATGCTGTTTTTGTAAATCCAATTTTAAATCTTAGGTATTTATTGATGGATTAATCATTGATTTATTAAATTCTTTTCACAATTCCTATTTTCAATGCCTATGAAAATATTAATTATATTTAAAATTTTTCCTGTTTTCCTGGTCCTCCATAAGTTTGTACCATTGACTCAGGCTACAGTAGCGTCCTGTGTTTCCGCGGTGCAGTAACAGATCCACTGACTGTGACGATTCTGATGGAGTGAATTGATTTTGCTGCAGAGTTTTAAAATAAAACGCAGCTGTGACTGAACATTAAGGCTGAAACTCGTTACCTGAACTCATCCAGGGCATTAACGTGTCACAGCTCGGACTCAGCGAGGAAGACGAAGAGTGAGAGCTCGTAGGATTTACAGTTTGGTTCTGTGGAGGCAAAACAAAGGAAAACCAAACCTGAGGGGTGGACTCCACCCGTTCCAACCTGCAGAGGGAAAAGCAGCTGGAGGAGAGCTTCAAGTGATATATGAACTTACACTGACCTTTACAACTGTGAATCCTGGGTTTGCTTTTTGCTCCAGGTTGTGTGAGGATGTAAAACCATGACGCTCTGCACAGAGACAGCTCTGATGGTGGCAAATCAGAGGGCGGAATAACAAAGGGATAAAAAGAAGAATCCAGTAACTTCACATATATTGTAATAACATCAAAATTGATTGATTTAAGATCCCGTCTTTATTTGATAGAAAGCACCATTTCCATCCCATCGCATCATCGCCTGAAAGAACCACATTTTCATTGCGCTTGTTGTGTTTACATGTATGAGGTGACCAGCTGGGTTTATTCAAATGCAAATCACATGCAGTTACTACAGCTTGTTCCTCTATGAGCATCTAAAATGTTTTATTCAGTGACATAAAGAAAACCTACAGAATCCAGCTCAGAAAAACCAAAACCTTGAGAAACCAAGATACTGACAAACCCAGCTCAGCCTTTGAATCCCTGAAGACCTTCGCAAACCTTGTCGACCATGAAGGACAAACTGAAACGAGATGTTTTGTTCTACGAAGGATTTCCTATTTATTCTGCCAGTGATTTATTTGCAGAGTCCGACTTATTCTCATAGACTCCCATGTTAAAATGTCCAACTTTACAGCAGAAATAAACATGTTTACAGCCTGGTACAAAAACAGTTTTGGTGTCTAGAGCTAATTTCCTCCTTCATGACACCTGTTTATATAACTCAGCTGTTTACATTTTATTGAGGACTAAAGTTATACGTAATTGAGGCCCACCTGTTTGCCCACTTTTGGATTAGCTGGGAGTTAGGGGCAGAGTCAGGCACCGCCAAGATAGCAATGGTGGAGCAGCTCACTCTGAGCTTCAAAACCGCTCCTCAGAAACCTGTGGGTGACGTCTTGGAGCTTGTCCTCAGTCCCATTGTCCTCTACTGCTGGATGTAATTTTGAAATTTGTAAAATTCCATATATCCAGTTTTATTGTTGTAAACTCTAACGAAGTATGTGGGGTGGGATGACCCACGGAGAACAGGTTCCAGTGCACATCATGATAAGACAAAATGAGTTCATCATATCTGATCCAGCTAACAGCCACAAGGCCTGAGCAGCAACGTGTTGTTTTCTCTGCACTTTCAGCAGAGAGGATTAAACTGTGCCAAGTTTTTAATGAGCTGAAGCACATCTCAACTTTGACCTCAAATATCACACAGGATTTCAATAATAACAGAAGCCATGACCGACACTTCACCAGTCATCTGTTTGGTGCGGAGGCCTGAAGAAGGTTTTCTCAGACTAACAGCATGGAATGCGCAGCGGGCGTTGTCACCTCAGCTCTGTTCATTTCTAACGAGACGAGGGCGAAGAGGCGAGATTCACAAGTGCCTCGTCTGTGAAGTGGCACACGATGGTCGATTGTTTAAAATTCACACTGGTGCAAGATTATTGGTACCTTTAGTGCCTGGATCATCTTTGCTTTAGAGACACTGTAGGCGTTCAAAACAAAGTCAAGTATTAATTCAAAACACTGAAAGCACAAGAGTGAAAAGCTCAATTAAAACATGCAGAACACAGCGATGTAGAATAAATACATAAATGAGTAAACACATTATAATAAATGCATGAATTAACATGAAAACAACTAAACAAATAAATCGGGGAATTATTAAACAGCACTTCAGCAGACAAGCTAATAACTAAGACACATAAACAGTGAGAAGTAATGGGGTGTGAAGTGGTGCAGGGCTGTGTGGGAGGAGGGGGAAATTACCTCTGCTGTCTGAGAGCTTTTCAGGCCTGAAGAAGCACAGTGATACATTTTCTTCTCAACACACACTCCTGAGAAAGCAAATGGAACAGTAAAGCTGTGTAAACAAGCATGGGTGGATGGGTAAAATGTGTCTCCACATGCAGCAGCAAGAGGTTTCAGCACCACGGACAGCGACGATCTCAGAGAGAGACTTCAGGACCACGGACAGTGATGAGCTCAGCGAGAGACTCAAGGACCATGGACTGAGACAAGCTCAGCGAGAGAGACTCCAGGACCACGGACAGAGACCAGCTCAGAGAGAGACTCCAGGACCACGGACAGAGACGAGCTCAGCACATAGCCAACATTAGCATTAGCAGCTGTTTCCTTACCAGACAGGAAGGAGTTGTCTCCAGTCATGCCTTAACTCTTGTTTCTATCATGTCTTTTCTTTTACTGTTAGCATGCTAACCAGTTAGCCCGGGTCGCAAAAACAAAACTGGGAACACAACGCTGGCTGAAACTCTTGTCATGACCGGCTCTCAACAAGAAACCACATTTGGCGGTGGAGAAAACTTACATATAGCTCCTTTAATTCACAGCTATAAATCAAAATTACTGTTTAAAATATACTTTTTCCTCTGTCCATAACTTCTGGCACATGACCCCTTAAAGTAAAGTAGGCTGAATATGCCCGTGAGCTGTGAGTCGTACCCCTAAAGAAATTAACCTATAAGACCATTAATCATCTTGCAACATGTGAGATTCATCTTCTGACCCTTGGAGAAATCTTGACCTAGACTCTTTTAATCCTTCTCTACATATATTTCTACCAGGCTGTAAGACCCTTTAATATCAGGGAATCAATTGATCAAATGACCCTATAATAAAAGTGGACTCCACTGTGCCAATCACTTATTTAGTACAGTTCTGTTAATATTCTCTGGCAGTTTATTCTCCACTTTTCTTCTTCAACAGCAACTGAATCTAAGATGAATTTGTGTTTTTGTTGTCTGCATGTATTGACTAAAATATGAAGAGAAACTATCCCCTGTACTAAAATCTCTTTAACCGTGACTCACTGACCTACATGTCCTCCAGTGTAATCTGAGCGGCGGAGTGTGAGAAGTGCCAATCGCTCCGTCCAGGAGGAATTTCAAATTAAAACTTCACCCTCCTGGTTAATTTGTTCCCTCGCGTCTACCTCTCCAGCTGTTAGGAAATAAGAAAACACGAGGAAAGAGCGTAAAGCGGCGATTCCCCCCCAGTGTGTGTTTAAGTAGTACAGTGTGTGTTCAGCTGTGTGTGATGTGCACTGTGAACGTCTTGGTGTAGCCCAGAGTGTCGGTTGTTCTGAAAAGTATGAAGAAAAAAAAAGCTGGATGCAGCGTAAAACTTAACCGCTGGCTATCATTAATAAATACACACACACACACACACACACACACACACTCACACACACACACACACACACACACACACACACACACACACACACACACACACACACACACACACACACACTTGCATATACACAGAGATTGCCTGTGTCCTAGAAAAACATTATTAACTTCTTTTTTGCCTTTTGAGTTTTACAAGTTTTGTACGTTAAATTCAGAGAGCTTAATTAATTATAATATGTGTGTGTGTGTGTGTGTGTGTGTGTGTGTGTTCACATCCAATTGTACTAAGTCACACGCAGTGTACTGCAGTAATAACGTCCTTGGCTCTGCTGCCGATACTTTGATGACAATATCACCGGAACGACACTCCACTACTTTTTTTCTCCAAGTGATGAAATAAAACATCCATAGTTCCTCAATTATTTATATTCCTTTAGTTCATAAGGGTCCACAGATATCAAAAGCATTTCTCATAAACGGTTGTGAATATTCGACAAGGACAGGATGTCTCCAGCCCGGGACTGTCCCATAGCCAGATCCCAACATCTGCAAAACAACAGACCGCGTTCATCATTATTTATCTATCTATGGTTTTCTTTGATGTGGACAGATACAATACACAAAGACAAACTCTGATGCATATATCAGAGTTTTTACACAGAGAGACATGACATGGACAGACGCCACAGTTTCCATTTAAACTCTAGTTCGTCTCCTGCTGGCGGTCGTCACTTTGAAGTCGCTTCCCTCTGTCTCTGCTCTTTGTTCTGCATTTTCCTTTTTCAGAGTCGTCTGAAGAAGCCGGGCGGCCATGTTTTCCTGCTGAATAAACACACAGTAATGGAGACAGTGGCAGACCTCCACATTTTATATTGAAACAAGAATCTGAATCATTTTAACCCGAGAAGAGACCCTGAATAATGTGGACTTGGTCAAAGGAGAGCACCACACTGGGAACTATCAATGTGTGAAATGACATGTAATATCGATCAGTAAAATTTCATGGCCAGACGAAACGTGTGGCAGGAAATAAGAACCTGCTGCTGTTAAGACAAATGTTTAACTGTTTTATATTCATGAGAGAAAAACACAGTCCAGAGAAAATGAACAGTGATGGGGGTGGGTGTTTTTGGTGTGGTTGTGTTTTTTTTTGGGGTTGTTTGTTGGTTTTGTGTATTTTAAACTGAAGAAGACGAGAGGAAAGAAATAAAAAACTGAACTAATCCCAGAGAATTTCATTCATCTGCCATGAAACTGCTTTTCTTTACTTGTGCAGTGTAACTTAAATAAGTCACTAAATCAAACAGGGGAAGTGACAAGGTCAAATGAAGACAGAAAGACGACACTGAAAGTAATAAAAGAATATAGTTTAGTAGTACAATCCTCCTCCCTTTAGCAGCCGACAGCGGAGAGAGCGCAAAGTGCAGACTCCTGTTCACGCCATTTTAATGACCGTCTTTTGTTGTTGTCTCTAGGCAGAGAAAAGGTTGCCTGGCTCACTCATCGGTTAGGAGTTCATAACAAGGCAGTAAACCAACGGAAACAAACATACCCAAAGCCCCCGGCTGGAACTTGAAAAAAATGTCGGAGGAAGTGAAGCAGAAGAAGTTTCCCGACTGTTCTTCACAACAGTTGGGAAACGCTTTTGATTCCTTTGTCTTTTGATCTATGGACCCTTACGAACTAAAGGAATATAAATAATTGAGGACTAGATAGACAGTAGGACTTCACGACTGCTTCAAAGGTAGGGAGTCGTCATTTTATCGGCCTTCACCATAGCTTATTACAGTACAACAGTTACCGTGGTCAAAATGCATGAAACCAGGACTGTAGGTGAAAACATTGGATATTTTAATGATATATTGATCGTCACCTGGTCACCTTCATTTATCTAGTCCTGATGCAATGAATATTCCTGTGTCCATTTTTATGTGTCCCTTCTTGACATTTGTCAGGAGCATGTGTGTTTAAATATCAGGTTTCCTGCATATTTGAAGTTTTGCCTGCGTCATGGAAACGACTCTCCCGCCGGTGACGCTGCGATTGAATTAAAAGATGGAGAGGAGCAGCCGAGCGACGCTGAGAGAGGAAGAGAGAGAGGAGTGATTGATGTGATGTGAAATGTGCAGAACGGTAGAACCAAGGGGGGCCAGAGAGTTGTCGGTTCAATTCCCCCCGAATTCAAACGGGAGTGAGCCGACAAGCAGACAGTTTGTGATAAATAAACAGAAACACGGGGGGAGTGAGCGCTCCGCTGCCTCGCCAACGGGCTCCACGCTCCCTCACTCTTTTATTATTTCTTTCACTCTCTTTTTGTCTGTGGCTGCAACCACTGAGGTTTCTTTACTTCTGAAGCCCAGAGGTTCCAGTCTCATGTCGCGTCTCCACAGATGACCCACAATGACCTTTGATGCCACAATTTTTCATGCCATTTATTCGTGACTCTGAAAAACAACCTTTTCTCTCAGTATTACTCTCTCAGTTTATCTTCCTCATTTTCTCCCTCTTTGTTCGTTCCATTCTCTCTCTCTCTCTCTCTCTCTCTGCCCTGAAGCATCACAGGAAGCCAAAATTTGGGAAACCAAAAGAGAGGAGGGGGAGGGTTGGAGGAGGGTTGGAGGAGGGTGGAGGGGGTCGTCGGGCTCGATGAGACCCCTGCATGGCTTTTTATTTTTGCCTAACATGATTTGGCACGCTGCCCTTCTCACAGATTCACATGACAAACTGATGTGGTGCAGACGGTTACAGACTGGCCCCCGTCCTCCCCCATCCTCCCCCGTCCTCCCCCATCCTCCCCCATCCTCCCACCCCCAGGGACACCGGTTCCCTGAAGTCGTCAAACCATGACTCGGCACCTTCTCCACCTCTTTTAATGAACTCATCCGTCCACAGGAATTTACATTTACTGATTCCTCACAGACCTGAAATACAGAACACAATGATAAATGAACCATTTCTGAAAAGGGAAAGAGATGAAATCCATTTATATTGTATATTGTACATTGTGTGACACATGTTCGGATTTCTTTTTTCAAGCACCATTTGCATAAAAATTGGAGGTTTTTTCCTGCTGTAATCTGAACATACTCCTTAAAATACACGGCAGCAGCAGCAGTGTTGTTGACACCAGACCACAGGCTGGATATTGCCGCTCACACGTACAGATGTGGATGTGATTGTGCTGATCATGTGACCCGCCGTCTCTCTCAGAGCAGATGTTGTCTCTCTCTGTGACGCTCACCAGTTGTTTTCTCTGACTGTGTGTCAGTCCTCAGACGACTCGGCCGATCCCCGGCAGCTCAGTCACTCATCACTTGTAAATACTTTTCATTTTGCCTAAGCAGATAAAGGAAAATTGAAAAAGGAGGAGTTATGAATAGTGAAACATCAATAGACAATAATTCTGCTTCGTGAATCCATTTAAAAAAACGTCTTTTTGTCATTCAGACACAGAAAAAGCCCCAATGCTCGTGTGGTATTGGGCGTCTGGGGCGCACATGGAGGGATCACTGAACAGGCCTGAGGGGCTGAAGGTTCAGGGAGCTCCGTGCAAAATGTCACTGACAGAGACGGATGTGTGAGCAGAGTGGTTCATTACAAAGAGACAGAAAACGACCAGGAAGAGACGGGAACAGCTCCAGAAATGCAAATGACTACAGAGGAAAAAACAAACAAACTACAGAGGGATACAAAACTAGAGAGGGACACAAAATGAGACATAAAATAACCTCAAAGAGTCAAACTGACCGTAAAAAGACAAAAAAAAACAACCGAGAGATTCAAAGCAACTACAAATTAATATAAAACAGCTGCACAGGTGTGGGGGGGTCGTGCCCCTATGTGTGAGGGGTGGGGGGCATTTTACATGTCTTTTCCTATTATCTCATAATCTGTGAGAAGGTTTGCATGTCAGCAGGTGAATTTAACCCTCTGACTGCTGGTGTGTGACCAGGCTGATTCACAGAGTGTGACGTGAGTTGGGGGGTTGATGTAGTTGCAGGTTTCTTGTTATCAGTCTGTATCATCTGCAGCAGATAACAGACTGAGCTGTGTGACCTCTGGGGTTTCCGTCTTCCCCGGCGAGATTTCCATCACCAAGAACTTTGATACCGTTTATCTGAAGGTTTAATATTTTGTTTGGATGCGGCGGCGGCGGTTGCAGATATGTTTCCCCTGACATAATCAATTGGATCAGGGTGACGCTCAAACTCTGAGCGCTGTCACTTTTCTTCAGTTTGTCACTTGAGCACTTGTTAACAGCGGAGAAGCAGCATGAAAGTGACTGACACAGTGACGACCGGTCGCCTGTTCAATTATCTGTGATAGAGGAGAAGAGGAAAAGATCCCGTGAGAGATGTAGGGTTTGAAACACTATTGATGTTAATGTTGATAATTCATGTTGAGCTTCATTTCGGGTAGAAAACTTTTCTGTGGAAGAACACAACAGAAATAGTAAGAGGAGAGTGAAGCAGCTGGTCGGCAGGTGAGACTGATGAAAACAGCCCGCTGGTGTGAGTGTGGTTTTTTTGTGTGGCTGAGATGGGAAAGTAGATGTGGTGATAAAGAGAAGATATGATGAAAAGCTCCTGGTCCTTCCTCCCTCTGACTGTGTGGAAGCAGCATCAGCAGTTTGTCGCCGTCTGACATCAAACGCCTCACCGGAGCAGGCCGTGCGGTCTGTGCTTCCAGAGGAGGGAAGTCGATTCATGAAGTTGGATTTGGTGGGAAACAGCGATGCTAAACGCCATCTGAGCGAGCAGCTGTTAAAATCTGTTGTTTGAACTTGTCAGAATCATATTTTCAGAAACCTCGTCCTGACGAAAACCTGTCTCCTCTCGTCTGCAGCCGACCTCCTGGTCAACACGCTGTGCCTCCCCTTCACCCTCGTCTACACGCTGCAGGGAGAGTGGAAGTTCGGCAGCACCCTCTGTTTCCTGCTGCCCTACGCCCAGGGGCTCGCCGTGCACGTCTCCACGGTGACGCTCAACGTCATCGCACTGGACCGCCACAGGTGAGCGGGGTGTCATGGCGGGGAGGTGGTAGGGGCTGTTGGGTGCATTTTAAAGTCCAACACACAGCGGCTGGTTCATTTACTGTTCACTAAGACACATTCATGAACATTCAGGAAGTCTTTCTGTCAAATGACAAAATGAAAAACAAGAAGGGGTGGGTGTAGTCGTTTAAAAGTACATGGACCAACTCTCTAAAATCTCACAGTCGGCTTCAAAATATCACACAAAATCGTTTGTCTCTGTCTTCTAGGTTTTATTTTCTATAATGTAACTTGTCAAGACAATGATGGTCAGCAGCTGACTCTTTAAACCTTTATTTATAGTTTTTATGTTCACAACAGTAAACAACATATTGGACAACATACATAAAACAGGAAAACATATTGGAACATCACAATCGATATAACATAAACAAAACCATGAGCACATCCCAAGCAGCAACATCCAGGGCTGAAACATTAACCCAACACTGATGAACTGAAAACTGCAGTTCCTCTAACGACCACTAGAGTCTGGCTCTGACAGTGAGTCCATCCCCATAGACTCCCATGTTAAAATGTCCATGTGTATGTATGTAATAACTCGCCTGTTTACATTTCATTAAGGCTTAAAGTTATGTATCATTTAGGGCGTGGCCTCTTTCACCTTTTTTTGAATTCGGCTGAAGTTAGGGGCGGAGTCAGCTACTGCCAAGTTGGCAACAGTGGAGCAACTCACTCTGAGCTTCAAAACAGCTCTTCAGAAACCTGCGGGTGACGTCAGAGAGGTTATGTCCATCTTTTTTTACAGCCATGACACACTCACTTTCCACACTCATGACTGTTTCTGTCCCTTACGTCAAAGTATTCTCTCGATACGTCCATCATCTGTTTGTAATTAGCTCCGGAAGCCAGCATCAGCTAGCTCGGCTAAAATGTGTCGTGTCATTGTCAAATTTAGCTAAACTTTTTAGTGCATCCAGTTTTGACGGAAGTTGAACAGTGAGACATGCAAATACACGCTCAGTTTGTGTTCAGCAGCAGAATTCTGACCCTCTGCCTGCTCACTCACCATGTGCTGCTGTCCTGTAAATGACAGAAATGTAGAATCCAAAAGTCAATTTGACCTAGATACAGCTGCTTTCAGGACAAGAGAATTACTGTGGAGATTCACATGCAAATGGAGCCCACTCTGATGGCCTCCTGCATCACTAATGGCACAAATTAGGCGTTGGAAGGCCGCTGTTACGGCAGTTGGAACGTAGGTGTTAAGAGTAGAAGTGCAATGAGGTTTCGGATGAACATGTGCCTCATTTGAATAATTCCAACCTGTGTGACCCTGTGGAGATGATTTTTTTTAAAAGCTGCTGGACGTGTGCAGCGCCACAGGAAACTCAAACTCACCAGCTCATCAGTGTGGAATTCAAACGACTTCCAAACACAGAACTTTAATGAGCTACACCGAGAGTTTGTGCTCATACATGAAAAGTTTACTTCCGAGATTAAATATTCACCATTTATATAAAGTTCTTACAAAGTGCAGACCTTTAAAAACATTTTTTTAAAAACATATTTGGTCCTTTGAGATGTTCCTGGCGCTCTCACCAGCTCTTACAATCTGTTATCATTATTTCCGTCTTTTGTCTCCACCACCTGTCCAGGGACTGCAGATGGAAACCAAAGTGTCTCCTTTCAGTGTTTGAAATGGTTTTTTTTTTGTTTGTTTTTTTGGCAGATGGTTCCTGACAAATAAATTCAAAAATGAAAACATTTAACCCGAGCATCTGTGTTCTGTGTTGCACTGTGGGACAATGGAGCCCATTAGACACTCAATCAATTAAGCTAATTATAGCTAAAAATAGTTCTGCAGTACTGACTTTCTTACAGCACTGGTTAGCTTTAATGTGTATTTGTATTAATGGCCCTGTGACCCAACTACTGGGTGAGTTTAAATTGGAATGAAAATAAAAAATTAGCCAAAACAATGGGTTGAAAGATGCTAACATGCCAACTGAGGAGATAAGCATGGTTGGTATTAATTCTCTGTGGCTTCATCACTATGGGAGAAAGCTTTTTATATCACACACAGTCATTTAAATGATATTTAATACGAAAATGTTAATTGTGCAGCTTTAAAAATACATGATAATACATTAACAAGAGCATAATTGGATGTACTTTCATTGGTGTTGAGTTTGGTGAGTAGTTTGGTGAAGACGAACTGCTGCTACTTGATCAGCAGCTGACATTAACATAACGAGCTTCATTAAGGCAATTTTTCTTCCTCTGGCTTTGTCTGTTCATGCAGCACGATGACTAACTGCACAGCCACCAGCAGAATAATCACCCACTGTATGAAAAGCAGAATAAACATACAAGTAAATTGGCTGAAATGTAAATGAGTCTGGTGGGCTTGTGCAAATCAAACAGAAACACCATGTAGATCAAGGCATGTACATACATACAAACATGCACCCAAACACATAAACAACACAAAGTAAGTCAAAGAAACTTTTTCCCAAGACTCGGGAGGAAAGAAAAGTGACAATCCTTTCTTTTAAAGAGGTTACACTCTGGCCACAGCAAAAGGTTTTCTCTCAGGTTTCTGTATCAGCAGGGACCGTGGGAGCTAAAAGCAGCTTTGCCAGCTTCTGATCCAATCTGCACAACAACCAACAGACGGCTGCCAGAAGACCACAGAGACCCACTTGGCTCGTATCTGAGCAGGCAAAGCCAGAGCCGACGTGCTGCCAGGCCATTTACAGCGCCGCAGCTGAATCTTACAGTCGCCTTTAATGCTTACTGGAGACCACAACAAGAAACCCGAGAACCAGTGTAATGAGTTCTCTTTTTCTTCTGCTTGTCACCACTGTTGCTGTGCTGAATAAGACTGTTGTTGTTGTACTTTGGGAAGGCGGAGTATGTGATTACTGAAGTTTGGTTCTAGTTCTAATGAATACTTTTTCTTTCAGTTAGAAAACTTGATGCTTTCTTGTTTGGGAGAGTTTTGGTGATTTGTTTTTGGGAGTTCTACTTTGACTTGTTTGTTAAGTAGTTTTTAGATTGACCACTGAGTAAACTGGGAGGGAGAGTGTGTAGTTATTGTTGTGTGGAATCCTGTTGAGCTTGTTTGCTGGTGGTGAACGTTAGCTCAGCATATGTGGTGGCGGCTGTGGCTCAGGAAGTAGAGCGAGTCATTCACTAATCGAAAAGATCTGTGGTTCGATCCCCAGCTCCTCCAGTCGTGTAAGACAGAACCTCAATAAGACTAGAAACATGCTAAATAAGTGCATTTCCTACACCTTGTTTTGCACAAAGTAAAACCAAGTTTTCTATGTGGGTTGTAAATTGTGTAAGGTCTGAGGTTTTGATAACGGCTTCTGTGGTGGAGTTTCTTCACTCTTCTCACCATCACTTCCTGTCATCAGCGCACTCTTGAAAACAGCCGAACATCTTGATAATTGAGGTCAAGACTTTAAAGCCAATTTGGAAGAAAACTTGTTGGAAGCTGTTGGAGTCTTTAAAAAGGTGAAGGGATTCAGCCTGGTTCTGTTGATTGGGGAAAATGAAAAAAACCAAACTGGGAACAGTACAAATTGCGCCTGATTAAGGAGGGCGTGTTGTCTGAAGTAGGGAAAGTGTGGGCTCCAGTGAATTTTATTCCGGATCTGACGCACAAATTTAAGGTTATTGCCAAAATCAAATGAGAAAGAGCTCGACCTGTTCTCCTCCTTGTTCCAGAGGCAGATACATGTAATTGGCCGAACACTGAGTGCACTCTGATGTCTCCGTGCTTTTTCTTTTTATACTGGTAAAGCTCAAGAAGCGTGTTCTGCTTTAAGCCCAGTGGAGAGTAAAGACTATGGCAGAGTAAAAGAAGCTGTGAGCTGAAGCCTGAAGCCTTTCAGAAAACTAATCGTCAAACCTGGGTTGAGTTTGTGAGCAAGCTCAACTGTCATTTTAATAGCTGGTGTTCTACTTTTGACAAGCTGTGTAACCTTTCAACTGAAAACTTCTTTGTTCCATTGCTTTGTACAGAAGCGTCAGGTTAAAAGTCCCAGTGAAGTGGCAGAGTCCAACACAAACATGATTTTGCTGAGAGGTTTTGAGGTGGATGCAGGCTTTGTGTCAGGATTGGTGGATTCGACCTGTAACAACCTGCTGTCCTCAGAAAACTCCAGCTCCGAGGAAAGTGGAGCTTAAGCAGCTTTCACTTTACTGGGTCTGGTCTCTCCTTTAACAAGAAGAAAATTCAAGTGAATGATTCAGATAGTGGGGAAACAGTCCTTGTCCGGGGAATGGGATTAAATGTTTCATCTGCAACCTTGCACAGAGTGGAGTTTGTTTCAGACTTGGTTCAAGGGGAAGTCTGTGATTGGTCTGGCTGGATGGCTGATGGGAAACTCTCTTAGTCTTCTTCCCCAGTTGCCGTCAGTCTTGCAGAGTGTCCGGAAGTGGTTCTGGTCTGTCCTAACATGAGTGTAATGAGTCTTCCTGAGTTTCCCAGACTTCTCAGAAAGATGCTGTGGGTCACCTCAAGAGGAGGGGGATGAGGATGATGATGATGACGTTGCTACGTTGAGGGTTTGTCTATAAAATGCTGCATGTTGTCTCGATACACACCTGTACAGCAGCGACTTCATCAGGCTCTTGGTGCAGAAGCTAAACTTGCACCAGCTTGTTACTGAGGAAGAAGAGCTGGTTCCCAGTTGGACCTGACAATAAAATCTAGGTAATGTGAGCAGATGTTTCTTGTTTCGTCGCTTTTCTTTTGACGTCATTATACAGAAAAATATTTGTTTAAATGACCTTAAGTCCTGTGTGGTCTCCCTCTCTGTGGAGCTCACTGAGCCTGAGCTGTGACAGTCATCAGCACCCACACTTCCACCTCCCTCTCCTCTGGATGATACATCCAGAAAAAAACACACACACCTACAGGTTTAACACATTCATTTGTTGGAGCTTCAATCCGGGAAAAAAGCACCTGTTAGTCATGGATTGAATGTTTCCCACCACTGCAGACCGGTGCAGTTCATCAGTTCATGTTTGCCCTGCTGGTTTATGAGCGTTGTGTAACAGCGATGTGGTGTGTGTGTGTGTGTGTGTGTGTGTGTGTGTGTGTGTGTGTGTTGTGTGTTGCAGGTGTATCGTGTACCACCTGGAGACCAGGATGCGTAAGGACGTGTGTTTTGGGGTGATCGCGTTGACCTGGGTGCTGAGCGCCGTGCTGGCCAGCCCCCTGGCCATCTTCAGAGAGTACGGCTCCTTCACTCTGGAGCCTGGACACACCATACAGGTACACACACACACACACACACACACACACACACACACACACACACACACACACACACACATACCTGTAGCACCATGTCCCAGAATCAAACACTTGTGAACGTCAGTCCCCTCGCCTCCCTCCTCATCCATCGCTTTGATCTTCATCTCGTTCCCCTCTGCCTCACTTTCCCTCCTCTTCATCTCTTTCATCTCTCTTTCTCTCCTTCCACCCCTTTCTCCACTCACTCCTTTCATCACTCACTTCCTCTTCCTCCCCTAGTCTTCCTCTCTTTCTTCACCTCCATGCATCCTCGCCTCGCTCGTCTTTCCTTACACTTCTTTCTCCTCCCTCCTTTTACCGCTGGTAAATATTTCAACACCATTGTCTTATTTTACTCATTTGTTGCATATTTCACTCACATTATTATATTTGCACATTCTGCTTTCATTTCCTCCTAAACGCTGCTCACGTCATACTTTCTTTCACATTATCTTGAGAATGCTGTTGGAATTAATGGTTTATTATATTTGGTTAATTTGCCCTTTTCTTCTTCAGGTCCTTTTATTCAGTTAATCCTCTGTTGCAGAAATCACTTCCTCCACAGAAATCTCTCACTCAATCTAATTTACTTTCATCCAAATCAAATATAAATAAATCCAATAGAATAATGAACATGAAATAATCCTATAAAACTAAATGAGACTTATATCCTAATGTAATTTGTTCTCTAGTTTAAGATTGTATGTAAAATCTAAGAAAAAACAAATCTAATCTAAGTGATGTAAAAACGAAGAAAAAGAAAGTAAAAGAAACTAAATTCAAGTGAATGTAATGTGAACTAAATCAAACTAAAATAAAAGCTAAATTATTCTAATTTCATCTACAAACGATATAAAATACACTGAGACAAACTAAACTCATCAGTCCAAATGAAAATAATTTACTTATTGAATTTATTGAACTAATTAATGCAAATGATTCTGATCTAGTCGACAAAACTATCTCATCTCAAGGTCCATTTAGTTGATGTTCATCAGAAACTTTCACTGATATCATGTGACCTTCATCACCCGATGGTTTGACCAGTTACTGTGGAAATGAAATGTCCGTTGTTCTCTTCTAATCTGATCTAAACAACAAACTGCCGGACTAGCTGTGCCGCAATCCGGTGGCCACATCCTGGATCAGCTGCATATCCTGCAGAAACGACATCAGCGTTCATTCAAAGAAACCTGAAGAAATCTAATTTAATCCCATATAAACCAAATTAAGACGAAGTAATCTCCTTTAATTTAATCCAATCAAACATATTCTGTAAAGTTTTCCAAACTGAACCGTCCTCTGTTTCCCTGTGGTGTCCCAGGTCTGTACGGAGAAGTGGCCCGGTAAAAGCACCGACGGCACCGTCTACAGCATCTCCATGTTGATCCTGCAGTACTTCCTGCCGCTGTCCATCATCTCCTTCGCCTACGCCCGCATCTGGTCCAAACTGCGCGGCCACGTCAGCCCGGCGGAGAGCAGCGGCAACAGCAGCGCTGGCTCCGAGCGCCACCGCCGGCGCCGCAAGACCACCAAGATGCTGGTGACCATGGTGGTGGTGTTCGCCGTCAGCTGGCTGCCCTTCCACGCCTTCCAGCTGGCCACCGACATCGACAGCACGGTGCTGGACATGCGCGACTTCCGCCTGCTCTACACCGTCTTCCACGTGGTCGCCATGTGCTCCACCTTCGCCAACCCGCTGCTGTACGGCTGGATGAACCGCAACTACCGCGCCGCCTTCCTCGCCGTCTTCAAGTGTCGCAGGGGCGGGGAGAGGGGGAGGGGCGGCCGGCTGGACAGCATTCACCCCGTCGGGGGAGGAGGCGGAGGGAGGGCGAAGAAGATAGTGCTTGAAACCCAGGATGTGGTGTCCACCCGCCTGAACGCCACCGACGTGTGAGAGCCTGAGGGAAGGGGGGAAATGAAGAGGGCGACGGAGGAGAGGAAGGGGGAGATGACAAGACAATGATGGAGAGACAACAGATGCAGAGGCAGGAACGAAAAGAAAATCATTGTCAGGGAATCGTTTGTTCCCCTGAAGACAAGAAGCGCAGGAAGAAAAACGAGATTCAACACGGAGAGAGAGAAACAGAGGGGAGATAAAAGATGTGAGAGAAAATAGAAACGACAGAGTGAGAGGAAGCCGACGGGGGATTAAAGAGTTTTGGAAGCCCAAAAATAGAGGAGAAGGCGTAGATGAGCAGGGATTAGAAGAAGAAGAAGAATGACAGGAGAAGAGAAGCAGAAGAGCTGCTTAACGACTGAATGATGGCGAGTTCTCCGCGACCAATCAAAGCGAGGTCGCTTTGAGGATGTGACCTCATCAAGACAGAGGACTCGCACTTACAGGACGAAAAAAAAGGGAAATGGTTTGTTTTCGAACGTCTCACTTCAATTGATTCGTTTCCTCAACGCTGACGATAAAGACTGATTCAAAACAACCTTGGACTTTGATGCAAATCTTGTCAACATAGGGCTTTACTCCATCTTCATTCAACTTGTGAAGCATTTAGCTCGTACATTTAACCCAGAGTGGCTTAGGGGGGGGGGGGGGGGGGGGGGGGGGGGGGGGCAGAGGTTCGAACATGCGACTGTACTGCGAGGATTTAAGGAGCAGCAGGGATCAGAGCTGATTGTCCACGATTTTAAAAGCGAACAAAACTGGAGGCCAGGAAATGAAAAAAGATCACATATTCAGATGGAGCCGAGGAGGACGAGGACGCATGATGCAAGCGCTGTGAATCTCAGACACTGTTACATAATGAAAATGTGTGTTTAATGTGGATTATCCTCCAAAGAAAGCCAGATGTAGGAGTGTAAATTAAAAACGACTGAGGTGGACAAACGGGAGATGTGAGACATGATGAATAAAAGGGAGATGAAGGGAAGAGAGACAGAGAGAGAGAGAAAGAGAAAGTGGTCAAAATACAACTGATTGAGATCTAAGGGAGCTGCTTTGTTTTTCTTTTTCTTTTTTTTGTTTTAGTAGATGAAGGACGCAGAGCGAAGGAAGAAGACCGGGCAGGGTGGAAAAGGCAACGAGAGGCTCAGTGGGAGGCGGGAAAAGAGAGAAATGTGAGATAATGAGGCAAAAAAAAAGAGATCTCGAATCTAGTGTGAAAGAACAGAGGAACGATCTGCTACAGACGAATGTTTGAAAAAAAACTAAAGCTTGTGATTTATTTCATCACTTTTTTTTGTATGATTCTGGCAGGTGTAATTTTTCCAGCTGTCAGTCAGGCTCACAGCAGAACCACATGAAATCTTGCAGATGAGATTTCACACTCCTTCACTGACTTCAGATCAGCTCGTCTGAGCCGGGGCGACGACACCGGACGTCATTTTAAACTTCTGGTTCTAATCTGGTGTTTAGTCACGGAGGGATGACTGCTCGCATTTCGTGCTGCATTTTAAGATTCAAAAAGACACAAAAGAGATTATAGGAGGAGATAATTAAAATATGATCGCCCATATTGAAATAAAGCTCATTTAAGGGATTCATTTTTCAAGGTATTTCAATGTTTGTCAATGATATTCATTTCAAATTGAACTTCAAAAAGTCAGTATTATTATTTATGACCAAAGGGCTTGAACTAAGCCTTTCAGGCAGCTCTTAATATCCCATCAGATAGAAGGAAAGGCTGAAGCAGATCCAATAAATGATCAATTTATTCACCATGATCAGCACTTAAAAGACGCTACACTGATTCATATTTGCTCTCCCATAACATGGATGAGTAGAATTACCCCCTTGTGGTTGTATCCTGAGTTACAGCATTGAATAATGACCAGAATTGTTTATTCATTATGATGTCACAGTTGACCTTTGACTTTTTGGATATGAAATGTCATCACTTCATTTTATCCCCGAAACACATTTCAGTTAAATTGCATCATAATTGGTGTATGAATTCATGAGTTATGGCCAAAAAAGTTTGTTGTGAGGTCATAGTGACCTTTGACCTTTTGACCTTCCACCACTAAATTCTAATCAGTTCATCCTTGAGTCCAAATGAATGTTTTTGCCAAAGTTCCCTCAAGTTCGTCATTGAGATATGACGTTCACGAGAATGGCATAAAAATCTTCTACCCCGTGAGAATCTGATGCCTACAGTACCCACAATGCAACTTCTGCACCAACAGTTGGATAGGATATTGAGGTGCTAATAGCAGCTAATGTAGCCTTGAGTCTCAATCACAGCTGAGGAGGCTGCAGAGGTAAGAGGTAAGCTGATTTATTTGTATATTTTCAAACTTGTACTCTTCAGCCGACGCTGACTCAAGTGACATCACTTGAGGTTAATTATCAGACTCCATGCAGCTTTACTCGACAGCTTCTGCGTCGCATCAGTGGATTTCCTCTTGAGATGGTTGAATCAAAGCTGTGAATTCCTCCGTGTCTGTGTACGACACCAGAAAACCTGACTGGAGGTGACGGGTTCAGGTGTGTCAGTGAAGGAGGTGAGATCCGTGAGCAGCCGAGAGCAGGAACACACGAAAACCTGGCTGAGAACCAGATGGACTGCATTTCTACTGGCGCTTGTATCCAACACACTTTTTCAATTTGCTTTCGCAGGCGACGCCAGCGAGCTACATGCACTGCACTGTCAGCATGCCAACCCCCCCCCACCCCCTAGTCCACTGTTGTCTTGGCTCATTCACATCGGGGGAGGGGATGAAAGCGTGACATGACGACCCAACAGTTGTTCTTATTAATGGATCACAAGTGATTTATTAACCGTTATAAAAGCCATTAGCTACAGCTGATACGGGAGTTAGAGTTCCTCAGCCTCTGCTCAGGAGGTGATACTACATCCACGACCTTGGTGCTCTCGGGTGAAAACTCATTCCCAGAGATGCAGTATAGTCTGGAGTCGGTCTTCTTCACTGTCTTTGCTCCCCTCGCTGATGGGCCGTAAAAATGTTTCTCCCAGTTTCATTAACGTAACAACAAATTGTTCTGAACATCCAGGTCTCAGGTCATTAAGTTCCCGTTGGTTAAAACAGCTAATTATTAAAAAGTGGTTCCCTGATAACATTTATTCACAATTATATGCACAATGTCTACCGTTTCCAGGTCACATTCATTTACCTGAACTTTGTCTTCGAACCTACCTGCACCATCATTTCCCATCATGCTCTGTGCAAGCTTCTCATAGAAAATGAAAGGTGTGTTCGGTGTGTTTCCACCCGGGCTTTTAAATTGAACTCACCACCTTGTAGGTGTATTTCCAGGCAGCGACGGTATCAACTCTCCACCATCAGCTAATGTGAAGGAAACCTGTCTCCATTAGCTCCATGTTTCTCTATCAGATGATTGAGTTTTCATACATACACAGAAGAAAAAAAAAATCCTGCAGCAAGCTCTTAATTTTCACTTTGCAAATGAAATTCATTGTTCAAAATGCCATTACCAAAGGTCGTTTTGTTTATGTGTTTACAATTTAATAGCCATATCGTAATTGCAACTCTGTGTCTCTCTGGCAGGAGCTGTGTCAACAAATTAATTTAGTGTAAACACAGTGTCACAATGTGAACCAGCAGTAGAGCGGGAATTAGTTTCAACTGGTAAATAAACTGAGGATGAAAGAGGAAATCTGTCATTTTTCTGGACTTAGCCTGTGTCCCTGTCTTGTCTTGTCATCTTTAAATCCCTCGATCAGTGTCTCTCCCTCTCTCTCTCTCTCTCTCTCTCTCTCTGAGCTGTGTCACCGCCCCAACCTGCAATCCCACAATCCCCGTGTTCTCTCCCACCAAACCTTACCAGCTGTTTATCTCCGTCCTCGTTTCAGCTCCTCGCCTGTCTCCTCTCCGCTCTCTTTCCCTATTAATGCATGCCTCAAAAAAGCTAGAAATGGTGTCTCTCTCTCCAAGGACAAACATAAAATAACTATGAGAAGTGTCTGCTTTGTTTTGGTATGACTAGGTGCAGAGTCACAAATATTCCCCACAAAAACTACAGTTTCCTATGAAGGATTTTGATCCAGAACAGCTGAGAACAGTTGTTCTCACTTTATATTTTAAACATGCACTCGACTGCATCCACCTGAAACATCACCATGTTAAAGGCCAGTCATTTTACAAGTAAACCATAATGTGCTTTAGTTCAATGACAGTTAAAATCCCTGGATTTAAGTTGGATGTTTTAACAGTTCAGTTTTGAACAGCATTACACTCACATGGAAGCAGGTCAAAGGTTCAGGAAAGACACTTTGACGTCATCTGGTTTTGCTCTGAATCCCCAAAGCTATCCCACAATGCAGTGCATGGACAGGTCATTGTCCACTCTTGTCAGGAGAGTTGGGAATTGGGAGTTATTTTGGGGCGTACAAGGTCTTGAAAGTAAAAGTCCAATTCACTGAAGTGCTTCAAGGTTTGGATGGACATAAAACTCTCCTGTTTGAATAGAAAAGATGAACTGTGCTAGAAAAGATCACAAAGGGTAATGCCACTTCAGGTGTTAAGAGTAATTACCGGTTTCAAACTTGCAGTTACCCAACATGATTAAATGGCACTTTCTTTTACATTTGGAACAATGAACACCTAAAATAAATTCTCCTGACTCTGACTCTCCTCTCCCATCTCTTTGGAGGCAACTCAACAAACCATCTTGAAAAAAGCGAATAAACGAGTTGCACTACAGAAAGGAGAAGTCATGACGTCACCTCCTAACGTCTGTTCCACTTTTGTGAACAAAACTACACATCGCTAGAAAATTTACCAGCGTGGCAGCTCCCGTCATTGTAACTTTGTTTCATCCACAATCAAAAATTTCAAAGCTCATTTTTTATGTCTTTTTTTATTTTTATTTCTCAGCTGTAATCTCTGCTGTCTAAAAGCATCTAAACCCTTTTATCAAGCTATGACGTTGAACCTCTGCATTGGTCAAGGACTTATGGC